CTGCCGGGGGGGTGCCAGCCACAACTTCTCTAGGCAAGCTGGTCCAGTGCCTCACCACCCTCATCATTAAAAAAAATTTCTTCCTTATATCTAATCTAAATCTGCCCTCCTTCAGCTGAAGGCCATTACCCTTTGTCCTATCACTACAAGCCCTTGTAAACAGTCCCTCTCCAACTTCAGGTACTAGAAGGCTGCAATAAGGTCTCCATGGAGCCTTCTTTTCTCCAGGCTCAACAATCCCAACTCCCTCAGCCTGTCCTCATAGGAGAGGTGCTCCAGCCCTCTGATCAGCTTCATGGCCCTCCTCTGGACTCACTCCAACAGCTCCATGTCTCTCCTGTACTGGGGCCTCCAGAGCTGGACGCAGTACTCCAGGTGGGGTCTCACGAGAGCAGAGCAGAGGGGCAGGATCACCTCCCTCGACCTGCTGGTCACGCTGCTTTTGATGCAGCCCAGAATACGGTTGGCTTTCTGGGCCACAAATGCACATTGCCTGGTCACGTTGAGCTTCTCATCCACCAACACCCCAAAGTCCTTCTCCTCAGGGCTGCTCTCAATCTGTTTTCTTCCCAGCCTATAGTCGTGCTTTGGATTGCCTCGATCCACATGCAGGACCTTGCACTTGGCCTTGTTGAACTTCATGCGGTTCGCACGGGCCCACCTCTCAAGCCTGTCAAGGTCCCTCTGGATGGCATCCCTTCCCTCCAGCATGTCGACGGCACTACACAGCTTGGTGTCATCGGCAAACCTGCCGAGGGTGCACTCAATCTCGCTGTCCATGTTGCCAACAAAGATGTTGAACAGCGCCGTTCCCAGTACCGACCCCTGAGGAACACCCCTCGTCACTGGTCTCCACATATGTGCACATTCTTAAACAAAACCATGACTGCCAACAGAACAAGGTTCTATAAATGCTAACAAATGCTAAAAGCTAATGTAACTGCTAAAATAAAGTGTGCCAATAGTGTGCAAATTGATTCCAGGTTGGGGAACGCTATCAAGCTAGATGAGGGCTGGTAAGTCTGAGCAGTGCTACAGAGTCTGCGGGGGGGTGTGTGTGTGTGTGTGTGTGTGTGTCACTGGTTAGTAAAGGGATCAATCCACAAGCAAATCTGGCAAAGCTGCTACTTTCCACTTGGTTGTGTGCATGTTACACACACCCTGGCTAACACCCACCAGCACTGCCTTACTAGCATGTATGTGTATACACGCACAAGCACGCATATAAAGGCATGCCCCTTCTTGTTTCCAACCCAGAGAATGTGCAACAGGGGAGAGTTAGGTGAGAGGATAGCTGATCCCACCGCCCCAAGACCACTGATGAATGAGCTCTTTCCTGGTTGAATTCCTACGACAAACGCAGCCCACCTTCACACCCAGCCTTCCCTGGGCAGCTGTTATCAACACACAAGGGGGACAAACACACAAACAGGACAAAGCACATACAAGGACCCTCCCACGAGGAAAGTGAGCAGAAATCGCAGAGTCTGACCCAACTTGTCTCTTTCATTTGCTGCTTTCCTCTCTCCCCTTTCCTGAAGGACATTGCTCCCATCAGCATGCCCTAGCTCTCCCGGGAGCCTTCCTTTTGCTGCCTGCCTGCCGTGCAGCCCTGCCATCTGCCTGCAATTGCACCTGCCTGCTCCACTTCTGCTGGCAGCCAGAAATCCCTCCCCACTGTGCACTCCTGCAGGCCCCTGCCCAGCAGCCCCAAGCACCCTGAATCCCCCATGCAGAGGAGGAAGACTCAGTGGCAGAGATTAGATATCCTCTTGCCAGCGCTCCCTCCTTGCTTCTTTCTTCGGCACTGCAGCTCCACTCTCGTTCCCTGCATCTCCAGCCTCCACCCACCCACAAACTCACCTCTGTGCAGAAGTGATTCCCGGGGACGCCAGCTCCAGCTCTGGTGCCTGCATGCTCGTTAGCCTATGTCATGTTTCATATCTCTCTTGCTAATTGCTCTTCACCCAGCTTCCTCTCACGTCTTTGTTTCCTTACTACTTTATCTCTCTGCCTTGGCTATGTAAGC